GTAAAAGGCTGAAAGTTTTTGAAATGTTTAGTGCATGTGTGTGAGGTAATCGAAGGCTCTAAGGACACAAGCTGTTGAAGCTCCGCCCTCTATGCCGGAAGCTTATTTGCATTTAAAAGGACAGATGTAAAATTGGTGCGTTTTTGCTCACCCTAAAAAAAGTGACAACTTAAACATGCTAAAAATATCTGGGGTATTTTGAGCTAAAATTTCACATACACACTCTGGGGACATCAGAGATTTATTTTACATCTTGTGAAAATGGTATTATACCACCCTTTTAAATCTCTAAATAAACATGAGGTTTCAAGTTTTTTTTTTAAATGGTTTATGTTTTATGTTTTTTTTTTTTCAAGTCATAATGTAAAAGCATTCTGTAATATTTCTAAGTCACTTATGAAATAAGCAAAAAAACAAAAAACAAAAACAAAAAAGTTTGGTAGCTCCTGCAGCTTTAGTGCTGCTGCCAATAAAGCTAAAGGGCAACAGTACCAGACACTGAGACGTTCATGTTAATTTTTCACTTTAACTTTCCACTCAATTTATTATGCTGATATAAGTTTTAATGAAAAATCATTTCCACTGGTGGTCTCATGCTTTTTGACCTCCCTCCATATTTACATGGAATTTTTATCATGATAAATGAATGTAATTTTTTGGATAAACGTGTGCTTGTACACTTTGTTCTGGAAAAACATATTTCACCTTGTGTTGCGCCAAGTAGCATATTTGCAGCATGTGTTGGATTTACTCCTGTGAGTCATTGCACATCTTGGAAGTTTGTTCATGGCCACTGAACTGAACAGATCCATTTTGTTCCCTTAGTACAACCTTTTTTTTTTTTTTTTCACGGCCGGTTCTGAAGAGTGAAAAGTGCAAAAGTGATGCACAGTTTCACCCCACTGGGGTATAGAAACACAGGCAGCCTTTGCAATGCTCACTTGAAAAGTCAAACAAATAATCTAAATAAGCTACTGTTAGATGCCTTTGATGCTTTCATAAATGTATTTTTAATGTTTGTTGTTTTTGTAATAAAGATAACGATGAGAAGACACGCAGGCATTCAAACTTTGGAAAAAGACTATTTATGGCACTCAGACAGGTATGCTTTATATGCAAATGACATCATATCAAAAAAAAAAAAAACTAGATACAGTTATATTATTTGTTCTTCAGACATTCCTTATGAAAAAAAGTATCAGCTGTGTGTGCAAAGTGATCTAAATTTAGTTTTCGAACACTGAAAATGTGTACAATTTCCAATTTACTGATGAAGCCACATTAAGAACTCGATATATCTCTGGGATTGAACCATTTTAAACCATCTTTAAAGGTCCCGTTCTTCGTGATCCCATGTTTCAAACTTTAGTTAGTGTGTAATGTTGTTGTTAGAGTATAAATAATATCTGTAAAATTATAAAGCTCATAGTTCAATGCCAAGCGAGATATTTTATTTAACAGAAGTAGCCTACATTAAACGGCCCGTTTGGACTACATCCGGCAGAACAGTTTTGTGACTAACGTCCGCCCACAGGAATACTCCCTCAACTTGCGCACTTCTTACAACTTACTGTGTTTACTCAGATCTTATGGTGATTTTCTGAAGTAAAACTGACGCTTCATCTTTTGTGTGATGTACAATGAACTTTATTAAATTCATCAGTATATGTTTGATCATTATTCGGACCTGGTCCCAAACAGCAGACTTGTGGGCTATTAACAAATAATGGATTCATACAAGCAAATGACACCTACGTTATAATAACCGTAATTAAACTACTAAACCAGTTCCATCCAGCACTCTGACTCTGTAGGCATTATTTTCCGACTCAAAATGAACACCGTTACTGAGAGTATATTATGATATTTTATATTAGAGTATATTACTGAGAGTATATTATATATTATGATTATTTCATGAGATGAAATTTTCCTGAGAGACTGAAGCTCCGCCCCCTGTGCCAGCAGCAGCAGCTTATTTGCATTTAAAGGGCACACACTAAAACAGCGCGTATTTCTGAGCCCCAAAAATGACAATTTAAACATGCTGTAAAAATTATCTGTGGGGTATTTTGAGTTGAAACTTCACATATACATTCTGGGGACATCAGAGACTTATTTTACATCTTGTGAAAAGGGGCATAATATGAAAATATTAAAAGGAAAGTTTGTTAAGAACCATAATCTAAAAGGATATTGAGATACCTTAAATATATGCTACTTTTTGAGCAGGCCAAGCATGCAAACTTGAGACAAAAAAAAAAAAAAAAAAGAAAAGAAAAGAAAAAGAAAACGGAAGAAGTGCTTTCTCATATTTTTGAACTGTTATAACTGATATAATGCAACAAAGATGGCTAAAGTCAACAGATTTTATTAATATACCAAAAATAAAATGTTGATGCAGAACAACTTTCCATCTAAAGTATTATTTTTTACCCCCCCTTCAATTTGGCTCCAATTCTGGGAAAACATTGTCATTTTGACGCCCCTCTACAAAACACTGGATTAGTTGGTAAATATAAATCCATGACATTTAATAGTTTGTCTTTAATCACTATTCATGTTTGTCTTTCTACAGAAAATATATGAACCCAAATGAGATATTTGAGCTGGGAACCTCTGGTTGATTTTTTTTTTTTTTTTTTTACATTTTCAACATTGTTTATTGTATAATGTTGCTGTTCGAGTTCAAAAGGGAGTTATTCTCTATACCAGTAAGAAATCCCTGAAATGCCTTGTTTGTTGTCTTCTATTTTTATTTATTTATTTATTTTTCTGGGAATGATCACATCCAGCCCATTCTCACCCCCAAGGCGTCACTTAACTGACGCCTTGGGAAGCATTTGGACATGCTTCAATATCTGACGCTTTAGGCACCCTTTAGCGTCAGTAAGATGACGCCCTAGGATCGCGTGTACCCTACCCCCACCCCACACCTAAACCTAACCGCGTCCTCTAACTGACGCTTTCCTTTAGCGTCAGTTAGATGACGCCGTAGGATCGCGTCATGTAAGTGACGCTAAAGGGCGCCTAAAACGTCAAATATTGAAGCATGGTCAAAGGTGACGCCTTGGGGTGAGAATGCGTTGTCACATCACAATATTCCTCATTGAAAAAATCCCACCCAAGACATACGCAAAAAAGAGGGTTGGTTGGACCTGGTTGAGTTGCATTAGTGGTAGGCCTATGCTGAAAATTTTGGTTATTGTTATACAACAGTTGCGGCTGCTGGTCTTTCAAAGAGGGGAGGCTCATTTTCGGCCGACATCATAAACATGTTCCATTTATTTATACGTAAATTCTGCTCTAAGTTCCTTAAAGAAAATGCTGTGTGACCCTGTCATACCAACTAAGTGTCTTTTCCAGTGACTCTCAATGGCCAGCAGGGGGAAATGTGGGAATTGGGTTAAACTGAAACAAGGAATGTGGTGTATAATTGTGTGAAATGTATGAAGAAAATTGGCTAGCAATTTCGCCGAGCAAATACTAAGAAATAGGTTGCAGCAGTTTGCCATACTTGCAAAATCAGCGATGGGACTCGAATAATTTCAGTGTCAGCGACTTTTTATAGTACAAAATCGCTGTCAATCAAAAGGAGATGCAGTCTTTCAACAGACCCTCCAGTCACAACCACTCCCCCATTCACCCCCAGAGACACTGAGCGTCCGTGGGTGGGACATAATCGCAAGATTTATCCCATGAACGTCTAGTTTTGAAGTACTGAAAAAAAAAACTGTTCAAAGTAGCCCCATTGAATTCAATGGAAACAAAACGTCAATAGGCTTCGACAGGGCAGGGCACTGTGATGCTACAGGAATGTATGAGAAGGAAATCGAGTCAGCCAATCTGCTATAAGTAGCTGACTCTGAACAAACTCGTCTTCGAGATGAATGTGTTCAAACACATTTTTAGTCAATTATATTAGCACAATAGTACATATTTGACCATTCATTTTTTGACCATTTCAGTCATAAAGAAATTCCCACTGCAACAACGACATAACTCGCTGCTTAACAACTGAGCATCATTGAAGAAATCAGCTAGTCACGACTGTTTCCCGTAATCATCTGAGAACTAATTATGTTTTTTCTCAGTTATTTTGCTTAATTACTGAAAAAATGATATATGTATGTATTATAAATGAAAGTCATAGTTCGTACTGATTGTCAGCTTGCTTATATGGCTCAAGATAAATATTTAATGAGTCCACGTCATACAAACAAGAAACTAAGAGCTGTCGTTCAAACCACACAACTTTGCATTTCAGTTTGAATCTTCATTTGAACTATTGTTTCGGGAAACAGTAACTCATTGAATGCTCATGACAGTACTTGCAACCATAGTTGGCTAACAATGCTTTTGGGAAACGCACCCCTGAGCGGTACAAACAGACCTTGGAAGTGAGGTTCTACAATAATGTAAAATATGTGAAAAATAATGTTTTGAACATTCAAACATGAAAACATTATTGGAGACCTCAAAAACTAAATCAAGGCTTTGTACAAGGGGATTATATGGCCTATATGGCATTATAAAGTAATAACAATACTTATTATTATTATAAAGAGAAAAAAACACACAAATTCTTGTTATGCAAATATGTATTTAATGTATTTAAAATGGTTATTCCATTAGAAAATAAATTAAGGGATTAACTTTGTATCTGTCGTAATTGAATGGATTGTGAAATTTGGGTGTTGCTTACCAAAATGGAGCCAGCTGATTGGAGGGGAGTGGATGAAAAGTGAAGAGGGATTAATGATCTCAACCAGCAAGGAAAGTTCTTTCAATCATGCACAAAAAGAAAAGAAATGTGTATTAAGTAAATATGGACAATATTTGTTTTATTTAGAATGATTTATAAAACTTTATTGTTATCATTAGTTATTGGCCTTGGTGTGAACTGGTAGTAAGGGAATTAAATTAGAAAGGGAATTATGATAACCTTTCTTTTGCTCTGTTTGTCCTCCTAACTCCTGTCCTTTCTTTGACTCCCACAGATACTAAAAAAGACCAGCATGTATATTCAGGAGCAAAACGAGAAGGTCTATGCACCCAGAGGTTTGCTCCTCACAGACCCCATCGAGAGAGGTATGAGAGTGGTATCCTTTGTAAACAGTCAGGGATGGTTTTCAGTCTTATGTTATGCTTTTTGGCACTGCCACAAACAGCTGAGCATGATCTAGTTGTGATCTTTGATTCAGTTTGTTTGCTGGAAAGACTTTGTTCTTTTAGCTGTCACTTCAAGCTAAGATTTTACATTTTACATTTGTTCATTTTAGCTGACGCTTTTATCCAAAGCGACTTACAATTGCTATATATGTCAGAGGTTGCACGCCTATGGAGCAATAGGGGTTAAGTATCTTGCTCAGGGACACATTGGTGTCTCACAGTGGATTCGAACCCAGGTCTCTCACACCAAAGGTATGTGTCTTTTCCACTGCGCCATCACCACCCCTGATACTTTCTCATGACCATGTTTTCCTTTCATTTCTGATTTTCAAAAACAACAATGATGTCAGTCATCACTGTTGTGATTGTGTGCAAAGTGGGAAGTCACACTTTCATAAGAGTTACATACTATACAAATAATATAACTTCACCTTCAGTTGTTCAGCAGAGGTGACACTTTGATATGTTGATATAAAGCAGAGAGGAAAATCTCCTTTATTTTGTAGACATTTCTTTCCATTTTCCAGGACCATGGTTGTAGCTAGGAAACTGTGTGAGCCCAAAAAAGCTGCCTGAGGCCAGACCTGATTGGAAACACTGTGTCTGTGTGTTTAAAGAATAAGGAAAGTTTGTCAAGACAAACAACTTAAAGTGTTTGACAGCTGGAGTTTGAAGATTCATATTTTAAGCCAAACTGAACATCCGTCAGTGGGATTTTTTTGGGATAACATTTCAAACCGATATAAACAAAAAGGAAAATAATATTATCAAAAAGGGAACAATCTAGTTTTGTTGCATCACAGCAAACTGATTGCTTCCAGTGCACATTTAACCCTAATGGTGTCATTAATGAAATGTGTCCTAATTAAATATTACTTGAGATGTATTTGTAATAACTCAAATATCTACATTATTTTAACTTTTTTTTTTTAAAAACTAATTTAATAACTCATAATAATTAAGTACAAAATTGAGGCTGGAATTCATATAAGCCCTTCTTCTAAAATAAGGGTGACACTAGTTACACCACCATTTCTAAAGTTTGGGCAAGTAAGTTAATTTCTTCTTTTTTTTAATAGTCAAACAAATGAATACATTAATTCAGAAAGGATGCATTTAATTGATTGAAAGTCAACTTTATCAAAGTATCTTAATGCAAAAAAAAATATTCCCTTTCGGTGTTACTCTGAGTTACGTCGGATGACGACGAATGGGGTTTTGATTAGAAAGCCTATGAACTTCGAGTATTACAAAACGAGCCAATGGCAAATAAATGTATGTTTTTACTTCGGAGCCAAGAGTATGCTTCACTCCCAAAGTCATCCTGAGATGTTCTCTTCCTCTTCAAGACGAGCGCACATTCCCTGCGAACTGTGCAGTGATCTTTGTTGCTTTCTGTGTTTGGGCTCAGAGCATATTTTCATCATTCCGACGCAACTTGGGAGTGACAATGAAAGTGAACGTCTCAGTTACATATGAAGAGCTCTTTTCCAAAACGCTATAAATCCATTTCAATAGTTTTCAGGAAAACTACATTTTTTACCTAGACCCACACATTTTGTGAATATTCAAATTATCCTGTTTAAATGTTTTATTGGTTCAGTCTGAACATTTTGAACAATAATTATTAAATCAAACAACAATATTGTTAATGATAATTTAAAAGTTAATTAAATTTTTTTCCAAAACGCTATAAATCCATCCATTTTTTTATCATTTTTAGTAAAGTCATTTTTAGTAAAGAGTCAAACCTCAAACAAATAGTACCAATTTCAACATATGCATGAAAAAAAAACGAATTATTAAAAATGATCAATATATGATAACGATATTCAAAAAAGGGATGGGCACCCCTCCATCACATGCACACACACGCAGGCTACATAACATGTGAGCAAAGCGGAGCAGCATGATGCTTAAATATAAGTTAAAAAAAACAAAAAACAAAATAAACATAAAATATACGTTTCACATTTGTTTTTAATAATATTACATTACTTATTTTTATTATTTCATCTATGTTGAGTAGGCTATGAAAAGGGAACCACATGAGATGAGTAAGATAGGATCAAAATTCAAAAGCTGCCCAATATCGGAAAATATTTGGAGTGCGTCAGACATGATTTTGACCACTTATTAAGTTTTGTTTTGTAGAAAGCTTGTAAATTTCGTTTCATATAAATTGTATCTTCATTTTAATAAATGTTTCATCGACAAATTGACTGGATTAATACATTAGAAGTAAATATCAGACAATATAATCAGGACACAGAGGCGCGCAGGTGAACCGGAGCGCGTCTCATAATATGAACCGAAACACCGCGATGCTTGCCTCACACAGTCCTGAGAACTAAGCTACAGAAAGCTTTAAATATCTACTTTTAAACAAAACAATTAAAAACTAAAATAAATTGGCAACTCTCTGCGTATGTAGGCTAATTCGAAGTATGCGTTTCTATAGGCCTATGCGCGTTCGCTGCGAAGATGGCGAGTAAGCATCATCAACTTTATCTTTGTTGCTGACACTGACAGAAAACACTAGTTTATTAATAAACAATTCAAATGTTTCATGCATAATCATTTCTTTTTGCCGGTTCTTTGTGGCAAGCTTTATGCATACGTTGAAATGCGGAATAGGCAGTTAAAAACGCTCATATGGTTTCTCTCCCATTTAATTAAATCAATATATGTGATTACTGATAATACAAATGGCTTAAATGATCTACTACTAGTCGACTAGAAAACTAGGACTCATTTTGAGGAATAAATGAACATAATAAACCTCTGTTCAGAGTGCCGCCGTGCTGGATTGTGTAGAGCGCTCATTGAATTTGAGGATTTATCGTGTTTAGGCTAAAAACAGGGCTGGCGCTTATCGCGGCTTGGAAAGAAACTGTATCTTGCAGTACATTTTAAACAAGGAAATATAGCGATTTGGGATGAAACGTTGATGGAGCAGTGAAAGGGTTCTGTCCACAGCAGAATGACACGAAAAACTCATTTTTTTTTTAAAAATGGCGTTTATCGCTTTTTGGAAAAGAGCTCTTCATATGTAACCCTCGCTCCCTGAGTAGGGAACGGAGACGTTACATCTGCCTGCCACTTCCGCTGTACTGCGAGAATCGCCTGAGCTCAGTCTTGGCTCCTCAACGAAGAAACATATCTGCACATTGCTGGCATCCTCCTTTAATACACACAAGTTGGGGCGGAGTTCCGCACACCCATTGCATTTCTTTTCCATTATCTCGTTTTGTAATAATCAAAGTTGATAGGCTTTCTAGGCAAAAACCCACTCGTCGTCATCTGACATAACGTCTCTGTTCCCTACTCAGGGAACGAAGGTTACATATGTAACAAAGACATTTTCAACATTTAGAATAATATGAAATGTTTCTTGAGCAGCAAATGAGCATATTATAATGAATTCTGAAGGATTGTGTGACACTAGCTGCAGTATGTTATATAATATACAGTATAGTACAGTATATTATTATAAAATATGCATTTTGGTTTATCACATAAAAAATACTGTATGGACGATGTAAATGCGAAGACACAAACATTTAAAAAAAGCGCATAAAAAACGAATGCACTCCATTGAGGGGGAATATTTTTTTGAATCTGATAAGAAGACATGGACGTAAACTACAATGGAAACACATTTACCAAATAAATCCCTCAATGCGCAATAAAAAAAAAAAAACTCATGTGACTTTTCCTCAACAGTGGATGTGTTTTGATTACTGGACTAATCAGCGGACCAGCACAGCATCTCAAATGTTGGTTGGATCATTCTGAAATGCTGGAGCCATAAAAATGTCCCAAAATAATCCTAAAAGTGTCTCACATGATTGCGTTCCCAAACACCAAGCATCCGAACACAAGATAACATGACAGCGTTTATTGCGTTTCGTCTACATTTATGATGTAGGACAAAAAGAGCCACAGTGGCTTTTCAGTCCATTTTTATTACAGACAACTTCACAACTTTGGATGAAAACATAGCTAGCGAAGACTAGAGTAAGGATGCTGAAAATTCAGCTTTGCCATAACATGTTTTAAAACTCCATTATTTCAAAATAAAAAAACGTTATTTTAATTTGTAATAGTATTTCACAATATAACTGTTTTACTGTATTTTGATCAAATGAATGTAACCTTGGAACTAGTTCTTCGACAAACACCAAATTAAAACAGATAGGTTTGTAAAACCTGTGTTTTTGTTTTAAAGCAGTTTGAAAATGATGGATTCTCAACATTATAAATCCAACCGAAATCATGGGAGTGTTTAAAATGGTGATGTTTGTTGGGTCAGTGGGAACTAGAATAATTGTTTCTAAGCAACTAACCTAATTAGATGTTGCTGCATTGGCCCTGTCAAGTATTTTGATGCATGGCTGAATACTTGTCAGTTTGTCAGGTTGCAGATATCAGGCCCAACACACAGCATGTTCCCCAATAGCCTACTAGTTGCCTTGGCAACCCATTCCCTTTTTGATTATTATTTTGGCTTAGACTTTTTTCTTTTTTCCAGAATATGTAAAAAAAGATCATATGTAATGAAATGTCAGTGTCTTTCAAGCAACCACCGCCCGCACTTTAGGAAACAATGCTGTAAAAAGAGATCTGGGTGTGTTTCCTCTCTCTCTAGGTCTAATACAATATATGTCAGTATTGTTGAGGTATGACAGTAAATGCACCCTCAAAAGATCATCCAGGAACATATTATTCTAGGATCCCATAATTTTGGGTGATTCCTTTTGGGAAATCTATCCAGTGGACCATCAAGTTAGCTTGGCAATCCTGGTTCTTCTCTTTCCTGCTGACTGCAGGCCCGTCTGGCTTTGGCAGGCCTTCGTCAGCTCACAGCCCTGCGGATTCCAACCAGCTGTCACCTTAGGAGCAATGGCAAAACAATAGCTGCCATTCAGTTCCTACCACACTGACCACCAGTAACTCATCACAGGGCTTTTGTTTAGCTCACAGGAAAGACATTTTCAAGTTAAATTAAATGAAACAGTTGATTTCATTAAAAAGTTTGTAAAGAGTCGGTAAGATTGTTTCGATAATTATAGAAGAAGTGCTCACCAAGGATGCTCTTATTTTATCTAAAAACAGTAAAACAAAAGTAATATTCTGAAATATCATTGCACTGTAAAAATAAGTGTTTTCTATATTATTTTAAAATGTAACTCATTCTTGTGATGGCAAAGCTGAATTTTCAGCATCATTAATCCAGTCTTCAGTGTCACATGATCCTTCAGAAATCATTCTAATGTGCTGATTTGCTTCTCAAGGAACACATATTTTATTATCAATGTTGGAAACAGGTGTGCTGCTTAATATTTTTGTGGAAATCCCAAATCTGTTTTCTTTATTTTCAATCATTAATTTCTTTAAAAACCAAATTGACCTTACACTTTTGAACAGCTGTGCATTTATTTTAATTATCTTCTGGGAAATTAGACCAACACTATTGATGAATATATTGATCTTGAACTCATGGGCGTATTGTTTTTTTTTTTTTTTTTTTTCAATAAAATTATAAGATTGTTATGAATTTGTGTTGACTACTATATTTTGAAAAGTGTTGTGTAATGACTTAGTGTGTGTGAGAACGAAAGTGAAGAATAAACAAGATGGATGAAGTTTGCTACTTCTGTCTCATGTGCTTTATTGCTGCTTGCCAACCCCTGCCAGACACCCCAAATTGGTGACAAGGGTTAGGCTCTTTTTTTTTTTTTTTGTTCTTTGTTATCGTTGGTCATGAAGATGGCTGTTGCTAACATGTCTTTCACAACTTTTTCCTTGCCTTGCCCTAGTCTTGTGCAGCCAGTCCTTCAGACCTTCAGAAGGTCATTCCATTGCAGCTTTTATTGGCCAAGGACCAATCAAGAGGACGTCTGACATAAAACAGTCAGTCTCAGTTTGTTTTGTTCTACGTCATGGTTAGGGGCATGAGAATGTAAAGTCAATGTCCCTATGACTGATTGAGTGCATCTAATAAATGATTAATTGAAGAATGTTGTGCATGTTTACTGCAATGGAGCCGCAAACTTCACATACTTTTGAAAATCCAGTGTTTAGTTAAGCGCTCGTTGTCACAGTTGTAAATCAATAAGGGGGTTCGGCGTCACAATGGCTTTGTTTTCAGGCAGACCGTTAAAGATACATGGAGCACACATCTCCTGGAAATCCTGTAGGATTCAACCAATTAAATAACGACTTCAAAACTTCTGAAGAGTGTTTCATTTTGTGTGCCATATGCATCAGGCCTTCAGCCAGTTGGTGTGACGTCTGAGGCTGACACTAGCATTGCCCCTGTGAGCCTGCTATGGCGTTTTTGAAAATGATCTGTGGGTTACTGATCCAACAGGGGTTGTCTGGCCATACAGAAGACGGAGAGCAGTGCAGCTTCACTGCCTCACTACAGAGGGACAACGGATTTTATACTCATTGACTGATACAGGTACGACGTAGCCTACAGTATGGACATGGATTGAAAGCCTACTTTGTGCCAAAAGCCAACATAGTAGCTGAACGCCACACATTCCGTAAACGCTGTCAGGTGCCTCACGACTCACATTTTACAGTTGTTTCATGTGTGTTCGGCACCAGTACCAGACTGATCTCATAAAGTGGAGTGTGTATGACACGCCAATTTCCATTTTTGGCATGCTATCAAGACACATAATCGCTTTTCAGCGTGTTTATGAACGCCATTGACTTAACGTTATTACTGTATATATAAATATATGACTTACCTCAACCCCGTCCCTAAACCTAACCGTCACTGGGGTTAATGGCGTTTATGACTGTTCCCTTACCATCCTAGGAAAAAAAAAGATCGCTCCCCAGCTATATTTCTACTGTACATTTTGACGGCATGTAAGGACACGCGGAATCACTCGGACGTTAATGGCGTAGACATACACGCATACAGGCGGATACATGCTTATAGCTCAAAATGCGTAGAGATAACACGCCACTTGACTCGAAAGTGGCGTGTATGTTTACGCAAAAGTCATGATTTCAAGTTGCCAGTGCTGACTAAATGATTCATGTTGTTGATCAATTAATTGATTGTGACGTATTCAAAAGCCCAAATTCCGGTGGTTGGAAGTTTATCAGCAAAGGTTTCCCTATATGACCACTCAGTTATTGCTATGTTTTTCATTGTGGACAAAGGGACACCACTCATGGAGAAGGATCTAATGTCTGCATTGCATGAGAGGATTGAAAACAATCAAGTCTTGCCTCCTAATGCCCTTCCTGTGCTTGCTTCTCCTGTGCCAGTCTTTCAGTGCACTGTTCCTGAGTCTACTGAGTTTGGATGTACTAAAAACTATACAATGCGTAAAGCTGGATGAAACCGTCACGCCTGTGCCCCATTGCCGTCTCCACTTTCTGTTTGTTATGTTGTGTCCGTGGAATTAAATCGCTTGCAAACAGCTTGGGTGATTGAAGGTATTCACACCTCTGCATGGCGTCTCCTATCGGCTAATGATGACTACCATGAGGACAGTCGTGACCTTACAGGCTTTATTACTCACAACGGACTGTTCTTTTTTTGCCGTGCTCCTTATGGATTGGCTTCAGCGCTTGTGGAATTTCAGAAGATGATGACCATCATCCTGACTGTTACCCTGGACAACATTACCATCCACAGACATGACATGCATGACAAAGCACTTTACGTGGTCTTACCATGACTAGAAGCTGCGTTTCGCTTCCTGCTGTTCTTTGGTCATACTGTATCAGCAGAGGGTCTTCTTTTTGATGAATCACATGTACAGGCAATTCAAAATGCCCCCGGTGATTATTTATCATGGTTGCCCTTTCCTGCTTTTCCTGGGGATGGTGCTGTTGCTCCAGCTCCTGCTAATGATGTTGATGAGAAATGTGTTGCTTTTCTATCTGCCGCCTGTGGTTCTCTGTCTGCTGGCAAAAGATGACTGTAAATGACAAATGACTCCTCCTTTTATTCTTAACATTATGTTATGTTATGTTTATGTTATGTTTCAACATTGCAAATTTGAACCCTTGACTATGGCCATCCAGATCGAAATCTCCATCTTCGAGGACAGTGGCTCCACCAGCTCCAGCTCTAGTGGAAGTTCTCCGACCAGTAGCACGGCTCAATGACTGGAGGAGCAGCACCAGGGGTACGGGTACAGGGGGGTCTGTACGCTCCCCAAGATCCGCATGTTGAAACATGAGAGCACCAGATTTTAAATGCTGAGTGAGAGAGAGAGAGAGGAAGTACAGGTACTACTCACTCACTCGCTTCTTCCAAACAACAAGCGCAAAGCCAGGAGCTTTAACTCACAAATACAACTTCCCCATCCCATTTAATTCAACCTCCTTTGCATTTCCATTAAGTGACATATATAAGTTGATAAGACAGCCTCAATAATGAAATAAAGAGGGCTAGCAATGATTGGAGTGCTTTCTACAGATTTCTCACTGTGCCTTAGCTCTGGAAAATCAGGTTAAGATGGTTTTGAAACAACAGGTAGTCTAAAATGGCAATTAGCTGGGTTATACTGGCATGACCAACTGATGGCTATAGGCTAGGTCTACACTAATCTGGGTACATTTAAAAATGCATATTTTTTTTCAATGTGTGGTCCTTTCGTCCACACTGAGACAGCGTTTTTTTCCCGCTTAAATAGAGATTTCTGAAGACGCTCTGCCTAGTGGATAAATCTAATGCAGTTTTCACTTTATAGTGTAAACTGTAAAATCTTGAAAATGATAGCGCATGTTTAGTCATGTGACACATATTATACTATACCTATTGATATCTATGTTTATACCAGTATGTGCCTGCTTTGTGCTATTCACTTTCACAGTGTTGCTAAAGAGAAATGCTACTTTGTACAATCTTCATATTACATTCCTGCAAAAACGACACAAAATCACTCGCAATTGCTGTCCTACAGCAAAAAAATGATGGGCAGTTGTGTTTTAGTCAGTATGTGGGATGGCGTTTTAAAGCACCCCTGAACACACTAGTAATTAATTAGCTTTTTCCAACGTTTCAGTGTGGACGAGAAACTTTTTGAAAATGCTTGTGCGGACCATGAGCGTTTTGCAATGAAAATGTTTTAATGTAGACATAGCCTAGATGGTTCCAAAACATAGCAACTAGCTTAAGCTGGATTTTCCAGCAGGGCTTCGGTGCTTATTTAGTTTGGACAGTGACTGAGCTCTCTCTATTCATCCCCCTGATGTTCAGCAGTGCCTCAGTTCACTGGCAGGGTTGACCCTTTGCAGCGCTCCAGGCTCATGTTCCTTCTGTTAGTTCCACCACATACCTGCACCTCAGAGGTTCAGTGTTTGGTGTCGTGGACAATATGCCCAAACCGGGCAATGCTCCCTTCTGCTCATGGAGGATAATAACAAATGGCAGCCCTTCTGGCTGCATGTTTCTTTATAATTTTTTTCTTAATTTGTACGATAAAAACTACCTCTGGTTTGTGCATGTGCAGGGAGCCGAGGGAGCCAGTTTAGACAGGATGAGGTCCAACATGTAAATGCTCCTTAGATAACGTTTATTTGGACTGATCTGGTTCAGAGGAGATTGACTCACCAGCTGTTCAGAATGAGCTGTGAGATTTTTCATTGCTCTTGTTGGTTTCATGTTAAGCATATTTGCTAGACTCTCAGACATAATTCATGCAAGAATGCATGTTCATTATTCTCTTATATAACATAATGTGCTATGATTGACTTCCCTTCAGTTTATGAGTTTGTTGAAGTAAAAAAGTGGGCAGTAATTGTCCAGTATTAATTGTGCCAGGAAAATAGAGTTTTGTCTGTAAGTGTAAGTGGCAAAGCAAAGTGGCATAACTGTTTAATGTATTAAAACAAGTTTGAGCTGTTGAATTTGATCTCCCTTATCTTGTAGCATTCAGTAAATGCTCTTATTGGACTTCAGGAAGCTTTAAATTATTTATTCTCAAAAGGTCAAGGTAAATTTGATTCCAAATTTGAATTCCCTTTAACTGCCTGTTATTTGTTTCCCCTTTTAAATAACCAGTTGCCCACCTGGCCACAGTTACTGCCCAACTTTAAGCTTCTCTAGGGTTTCTCCTCAGTTAATTTCTGTCAGCCACTCATCTGATATGTATCGCAGCGTTCATAGATCTCCTGTGCTTGGTGCCTTCATGTTTCACTGCTGTGGATATACCAACCCTGGCGCTGATCCACCAGGACCGAGCACTTTTGTAAATTGTACATGACTTGCACTATTTATGCATGAGAGTCTTTGTCTACATGTGGACTTCAAGTCATCAGTGAGTGAATGTCTGTAGTTTTCTTTTGATGAAGCTGTTCTTGATGTTTATGAAGTCACCGTGAATCTGTTCACAGTCCTTTTGTTTTTCTGTCATATAATATATTTTTCAGACCAGTTTACAGTGGGACCTTTGAGAATTGATTGGATTGTGATAAATTGGCATTTCCACAATCCGGTTTGTTTTACAATTTTATTTGAAATTGCAAGAAGCAATGAATCGTGCACAATAACATCATGGTACATGAGTTAAGAAAGTGTATTTTCATTGTGATTTTATGTTGACTGTTTGTTGGACTGGAAAGGCATGTTTTTGACAAGTTGCTCAGGAAAGATTTTACAAGTAAATCTGCCAAAACTCTCCCAACCACAGCCTTTACGCTTTGACAAAGCTGACTGAAAATCTGAAATATTTCTTGGCATGGTTTTGACTCTAATGATGGAGTCGGAGGGGCCCTTCAATATTTACAATATTTAGTCTGAAAGGGCCCTGGGCTGATCCATACAAATCAGTAAAACATGACATAAAAATTTAAGTTACATTAAAAAGACATATATCACCTTGTGTTTATATGGACAAGCCTGCTATTTTGGACAGGTCATATATAATTCATATAAAGTGTCAGGCACTGTGTCTAACGTCATGCCATGGGTTTTCATTTATATCAACAAATATTGGGTGTGTCAGAAAAGGTAAGACGTAAAATCTAATTAATACACATCTGTTAAAGAAAAAAAAAGATTCACATATTATGTATTAAAAAGTACTTTGATATGGTAAAATGTAAATACTAGTTTTGTATTGTATATTATATTGTTTTGAACCAATTGTATAGAAAAAAAAAACACTGGAGAATTATTTAACAAAAAAAGCTAACATGTTCATGTCTTCTTAATGTTGAAGCATAACTTTCCATTACCTTTAATACTTCTGTTGGGAATATTATAAAATATCTGGCTCATTGCTGCAACAGAGACAAATGTGTTTTATTATCTGTACTAATTTACCTTGAAATGGAGAATATATATATATATATATATAACAATGTAGCAGGTATTTCTTCTGCTGTTTGTTTAGTACTGTTATGTTGAACTCAATATATCAAGAGAGAGTTTTATACCATTTATATAGCAAATATATATTTATCCTCAAAATGTCTGGATGTGAGCAGGTTACTGCAAAGATGTATAGTTTTCTTCTTCTACACAGAATGCCAACAGAAATAAAATGTTTTGTTGTTTCTCTGGAAATGGAGATCAGATTAGTTTGTGCAGGAAAAAGAAAAACAGAAAGAAAAAAAAAACATACACAGACAGTGCTAAAATAAAAAAATAAAACAGGCTGTTTTCAGGGCATGTGGGCTAGGTTAACAAACATGGGTTCATAATTTTGGTAAATCTCAACAGGAAAATTCGAGGTCCAGCTCACACACTCTCCAGAAGTCATTCTCTCCCATAAGACATTAAAGCAACATTACTTGCTTGAGAAGAAGTCATATATTCTTATTTGAGAGGAAATGGTATTGCCCTTGATGTGACAGACGAGTGTTCTACGCCAGAGATGGAGGATTAGAGTTATGATTTTGGCAACCAAAGGCTGCTTTTGGTTCTTCGGTTTTATAGAGCATTTGCATTAGGTCTGTTCTTCCTCCAGGATATTAGTGCAGAAGAACAGATTCACCTGCTGGTATGAAAGTGGGGTATTTTCAAATGGGGTAACACTTTATAATAAAGTTCAGTCATGAAAAAGACGTCCAATTAAGTGTATTAAAAATGTACTTAAATTTGTTTTTAGTACAATACAAATATAATGTAATGAGTTTTTAATACACTTAATTGGACGTCTTTTTCACCTGTTATTAGTTAATGAGCTAATCCTTTACAAACCATGATTTATTAATAAGTGATGTTAACATTTTATGAATGTTTTGTTGATTCAGTTTTAAGTCATTTAGTGTGTAAATGATTAGTTAATGATGAACTAATCATAACTGATTCATATGTGGAATGCTAACATTTTATAAATGTTTTGTTAATTCCGTTATAAATTACTTACACTTTTTTAAATGTTTAATTGTTTATCACCAACAAATCATTGTAGGTGATTCAAAAGTGGTATTCAGTATCTGTATGTCAAAATTGGGCAACAATGAGTAAAACTGATTTTCTCCATGCATTGTTTGGAAAAATCCAAAAATTGAAATCACACAGTAAATGTTTCCCAGACCACAACATATGTTGGCCCAGTACACAATCCATACGTACCAGATGTGAGCCAGATCTGGGCCGACACTGTTGCTGTCTGGGTTCGTTTCTCTTAGAATAATTTTAAGATTAATTCTAACAGCTTTAATGATGAAACAGTGTTACACATCCACTACAAAATTTAAACATGTTGCATTTAAAGGTGCAGTAAGCGATTTCTGAGAAACAGAAATCACTTCATTTTGAAGCAATCCAAACACACACCCTTCCCTTTGTTGCTCCGCCCCCAAAATGCACGAACACGCAATGGATGTGGATGTCTATTTATCATAGCTGTGAACAGACGGAAAAAAAAAACACCCAATCTGGCAACACCAGCCACCAGTGTTGCACCACGGCTGCCGTCGAAAAAGCAGCGAGCAAGGAGGCGTCGTATGATCATTTAAACGGGTTATGACGGGGTTGATGAGGATGGGAAAAATCTTACATTTCAATGCCAACTTTGCCTGTCGATAAAATAATTGTTGTCTATGGTTGTATATGGGCTGTGGCAATAATAATAATAATAATAATACGTAATAATAATGTAATAATAATAATAATAATGAAGAAGCTTGCAACATATGGAAAAAAGAACTCGTTTTTTTAAAACTAAAAACTTTTAAAAACTTTTTTAAAACTTAGAACTAGTTTTTTTTTTTTTTTTTAAAGAACTAGTTCAAATGTGTGAACTGAACTTTAAACTAGTTCATGAAGAAAGTGAACTTTCTCAACACTGATTATGAGTGTATACTCCCCCTACTGGTGATTGGCTACAAGTGTGCTGTGGTGCTCGGTCTAATCCCCTTTCAACAGTGTTTCAAAGAAATCGCTTACTGCGCCTTTAAAAAAAACAAAAAACAGTATAGTTAGTTCACTGCAAATTTTGTAATGGAGTGGGGGGAACGCTCTGTTTTGATGAGGAGTGTGTGAGGAGGAAATGTTCAGGCAACTAATTAAAAAATAATAATTTTGCAATTCTGTTTTTTGATGCTAGTAGGGCACAAATTACACACTTCACCTTTACATTCACAGACGTTTATTTGTGTTGCTGCAACATCTCTAAGGAAAAACAGATATCATGGTCATTTACAGAAAGGTTACTCAAAACCCTAGAGTCACATAGTTTTGGACATTGATAAAAGACAACAAACTAAGCAGCTCAGTATAATTAATTCAAGGCCAGTGTGAGTTTTTCCATGTATTTACTTACATTCCTCACAGCAGTAAACACACAGGTCAGGGTCAGCAGATGAGAGAGAGTTATTGAAATACAGTTGATTTCACATTTAAAGAGAAAACGTCATCCTCTTTGTCAACCATGGGGAAAATTAAAATCAGCTTTGTGTTCTGGACTTTTAAAAACAAAAAGAGGAATGAAAAAGAAGGACTAAAGCAGGCAGAGGCTGAAAGAGTTATTGTTGTCTGAGAAGCAGATGTCATCATATATGCTAAATAGATCAGATGTTGTTATACAGTCTTGTAAGATTGCTTTAAATTAAGTGACAATCATTTTGAAACTATTGAGAAATGTTCTTTTAAAAATATTCCAGTTTCTGACAGGAACACAGGTGAAGTACACTGCAATTTTTCTTTTTTCGTATCTAGTTGTTTTTCAGTATAAATGATCTGAAATCAAATTTTTGCCTGAATAAACAAAACCTTTATGACTGAATTTGTTAAGATCAAACACATTGAGGAGGAATAAATGATGACAATATTTTCATTTTTGGGTGAAATATCTCTTTAAAAATACACAGCGCTACAATACTGACCAATTGACTTTTTCATAATTTCGGAGTAACACTTTATTCCGATAGTCCACTCTAGACATTCTACTAACTATAAGTAACTTTGCAACTACATATCAACTAACTCTCTCAATAGAGTATTAGTAGACTGTATGCTTAATATTTGCTAACACTCTTTTGTGTTGGTCCCCCAACAGACATTCTTCTGACTATAAGTATACGACAAGTCAACTTATTCTTCTAACCCTAACACCTAACCATAACCTGTCTACTACAGTCTACTTATACTCTAATGAGAGTTCCCTTTCGGTCAGTCACTAATGTAGGTCATCACTGACCAATAGGAATCTTGCTAGAGAGGTAATCTACTTCGAGTGAAACTAAAACAAGACAATAGGGGATTATCACGCTGATACGTAGTACTTCCGGATTCAGTGATCTTTGTGCACTGCCACTTCCGTTGAATCACCGATCTCGCTGGCAAACTGATGAAGGACTACACTAAGTTTATTTATACAGCATCCCTGGTCAATTAGTCTGATTCATTAAGTGCCGGCTGCAAACAAACGTGCTACCTTGTTTTATTTTAAAGTTTTAATCCACTTCTTCCTTAAACTCAATTCAGTCTGGAATCCATGAAAAGTTACGTAGGGTTGGCGTTGTTGGTTAGATTTACAAAGTGGAACAGAGTGACATAACAACACATTCTCATCCTTTAACGTCATATAGAACGCTATATGCAAAAACGGCGCTATACTACGCACATGGCACCCTTTATCGTTAATATAACACGCGAACCCAAGACGTTATAAATCCTTTAGCGTGAATATGACACGCACACCCTACCCCACACCTAAACTTAGCCCTCACAGTGCGTGTTATATTAACGATAACAGGTGCCATGTGCGTAGTATAGCGCCATTTTGTCATTTAGCGTTCTATATGACGTTAAAGGATGAGAACGGGCTGGACATAAATAGCATTCGTCTCAGGCATTGTTGAACTGCGTCGGAAGTGGACATGCACAAAGTTAACAAATCCCGCCCATTCGGAGCCAACACTTCGATGCTGTTTAAATTAAGCTACAAGCTACGGAGTCCCCCTAGTCCCACTATGGCAAAAAAATTAATTGATACTATCTCGTGGCCTCAAGATAGAAACTCGTGGCCTCAAGATAGAAACTCGTGGCCTTAAGATACTATCTCGTGGCCGCAAGATGGTAACTCGTCTCTCAATATGTCTGTATCAGTGTGTCTGTCTGTCTGTATCAGTATGTCTGTCTGTCTATCAGTATGTCTGTGTGTATATTAGCTTGTCTGTCTGAATCAGTATGTGTGGCTGTGTATCAATATGTCTGTCTGTATCACTGTGTATGTGTATCAGTATGCCTGTCTGTCTGAATCGTATGCCTCTCGGTCTGTATCAGTATCCCAGATAGCAAACTGACATTGAATCAACGTGGAAACGACGTCTCTCATGACATTGAAACAACGTTGATTTTGCTCATCGAATTAACGTTGAACCAACGTCAGACGCGGCATTCTTCAAAGCTAAATGAAAATCGAAAATTGGTTTGCTTTCATAACGTTGAAACAACGCGTTGATTTCAAGTTGATTTTCCGTTAGTTTTGAAAGAATGACGCATCTGACGTTGGTTCAACGTTAATTCGATGAGCAAAACAATGTCAGATCAACGTTGTTTCGATGTCATATTTCCACGTTGATTCAATGTCAGTCTGCTATCTGGGATGTCTCTCTGGTAATTTAATTGAAATATAATTTTATTCTTGGTAATGTCTCCAAAATTAATAAAATATTTGAAATTATTGTAAATAATTTGTGTTAAAGCCA